GCAAATCTTAGTTTATCTTAATTCAAACAATGAAAAGCACCAGTCCGGCATTTTTAGGTTTTTAGCAGGTTTCACTTTACCACATTTAGTCATTAGTTATACCCTTTGATGCTGGTCAGTTAATGCACAGTAAATAGAATTATTACTTTATTGTGCAACCCAATCATATACATATTCAATATTTATTTGTATCAGTGCATTCTTCAAACCAGTAAGCAAGGCAAGTGTATTTATACAGCACTTTGAACTGTGCAATGCTAAATAATAAAAGAAACCTTAAAACCACAACAGGCATCAAAGTAATCACAGTGCATTTAAAAGAGAATATATCAATTGTTGCAGCAAAATCATTATACTATTATACAATGTCAGAGTTGAAGTCAGTTGTATACGCATACATCTGAAACTCTGCCTCCCCACTCCTCGGAGCCCCAGCAGAGGCCAGTCCCTGTGCTCCTCAGCGTCCCAGCAAGAGGCCAGTCCCTATGCCCCTCAAAGTCCAAATTGGTTCATATGGCACTAACGTGTTAGAGATGTACTTTGGTGTGAGGCCAGCCTTTTTCAGAGTGCATTAAATTGCCTTTAAAACATTCCTTTTAACTGTTGAATGTCCACACCCTGGTCGGAAGGGCTACCAAGTTCCCCAAGGTGACTCTGGAAGAGCTGCGACGCACTGCTACTGAGCAGGGGGAATCTGTACATGGGACAACTATTGGTCATACTTTACACTAATCTGGCCTTTATTGACAAGTGGCAAGAAGAAAGCCATTATTGAAAGGATACCTTAAGAAATCCCGTTTGAAGTTTCGCAGAAGTCAAAACTAACAATGCTTATTGTCCTGAGTGCCTCCAGTGTCAATAAATGTGGGGGGAGCATCATATCATGTTTTGGAGCTGCGTTTCTGCAGCGGGGGCAGGAAAGACTAAGAATATGTTGGAGGTAAACCTGCTAGAGTCAGCCAGTGAATTTAGGTTGGGGCGAAGATTCACCTTCCAGCAGGACAATGGGCCTCATGTATGAAAGTTGCGCAGAAAAGGGTGTATATTCCATTTACGCAAGATCCGACGTGGCATTTATGAACGTGTGAGAGACGCACAGATCTGAGCGCACGCACCTGCGGCTGTTAATAAATGCCGCGCTCAAAACCACCGTATTTATGAAAGTCACGCCTAGAAATATTCAGAAACTGCCTGTTCCACGCCCTGTTTTTGCGACAGGTCAGCAGGAAGTCGGCTAAGAAGACTGTTTGGAAGCCTCAAAAAACACACACTTCTGAGATTATTCACGTTTAAAAAAATGTATATATATATACGCTCTATTATATATACGAATTTTTCCCTAGTGTCTAGACCCACTGCAGCACTCACCTCTCCTGAAATTTAGAAGTAAATAAATTAGTGCTGTCAACGATTAAAATATTTAATCGCGATTAATCGCATAAATTTCATAGATAACTCGCGATTAATCGCAAATTAGTCACACATTTGTGTGGGTGTGTGTGTATGTGTGGGTATAGACCATATGTGTGGGTATAGAAACATCATGGTGTCATTATGATGATGATAAACAATCTGTAAATATTTTGTAAATGTGTTCATGTAAATACTCTATGCTGTTTCTCTGTTTACTTTCGGTATATCTGACTGTATACTGTTTTCTTGTATTGCCTTTTTTATTAACCCCTCCCCCCCATCTCCCACTTCATGCCCCCCCCCCCCCCCTTCTATTTTTTTTTCTGTATATGTGTTTGTCTGCAATAAAAAGTAAAAAAAAAATAAAAAATTAATCGCGAGATAAAAAAAATGACGCCGTTAATATTGATTTGCGTTAACGCGTTAATAACGCGATATTTTGGACAGCACTAATATAAATAAATAATAAATGAATGAATGAACCAGTTCCCACATGTGCGTTGCATCCTATCTCTGCTGCAGAGAACAGGGCAGTGGATGAGCAGTTTTGAGCAAGATCAATTGTGTTTATGGGGCTTTATGCACAAAACTAAGGAAAACCCACATTGCTTTGCAAGAGGTGAATGAGGCAAAACATATGCGTAATTACGTATACGGCGCAGGGTCTGGTTAGTGAGTAAACGGCTAAGGAAAAATAACTTCACGGAGCAGAAGATTGAGACCATTATGAACGAAGTGGGAAAAAGAATGGGCGGCACGGTGGCTGAGTGGATAGCACTCTCGCCTCTCAACAAGAAGGTCCTGGGTTCGAATCCCGGCCGGACCAGGTCCTTTCTGAGTGGAGTTTGCATGTTCTCCCTGTGTCTGCGTAGGTTTCCTCCGGGTACTCCGGTTTCCCCTACCACTAAAAATATGTACAATAGGTCTGGCATGCGCCTCCTGTTCGGCGACCCCGCTCCCATCTCTGTGTGGAGTGAGAGGACAAGTGCCCAAAAAATAACAATTGTAAACCGCTTTGTGACTCTGGTCTGTGAAAGGCGGTATATAAATAAAGCTTACTTACTTACTTACTTACTTAGAATAAAGTCTTACTATATGGAATTCTCAAAAGTGGCATCAAGGGGCTCAAAAAACAATATATGGAAAGACCATGGCTCTCATCCATGGGCTGCTCCACCAGTGGCACACTGTGGTCCTGTGCCTGTTGTGGAGAACCGAGCCAGGACCATCTGGCACACTTGTACCGGGAGGTACCAGAGCGTACCCCCTACATGTCCCAGAGCCTGATCAGACCCGCGCAGCGCTCCACGGTGGCGCGCGTCTTTGCTTGGACCCGCATGAACCAAATGCCATTACGTTCTGATTGTAGGTGCATACAGTAGGTCCCATTCCGTTTTGTCGTCTTCATTCACGCTTCTCGGGAATCACGCAGCTGCGTGAAAAATAGTACATCTTATCGCCACAAGGTGGCAGGCTAAGTCCGCTTTAGCTCTGCCAGCGACTTAGACGCTCAGGTATAACACTGCGTGCAAACCTGTCTAACCCAGAGGTGCTATGTTGGCCAAATGGATAACATTAGAGCAGGGGTGTCATTCATACAGCCCGCGGGCCGGAACCGGCCCGCCAAGAGATTTGACACGGCCCGTGGCTCATTTATGTAAAAATATAATAAAGTTACATTTTAAAAAGCCGCTCCGCGACGCGAGGCTCCGCGCCGCGACGCCGCAGCGCCGCGCTCAGGGGTGAGTCCAGTGCGTCTGTAGTGGCTCCACCAGAGCGGTGCTGAAGGAATAACATCTTAAACTACAAGACTCGGCGAAAAATACGGCACTTTGAGCGAAGAATTGAGAAAACAGAAGATAAACCTGTCTGGCCCTGAAGACACAGTCTGTTTGTGCCCAGAGCGAGAGGTTAGTTCTGCTGCTGTAAAGGGAAGCTACCTGTGCTAACAACATTAGCATTAGCATCGCAGCCGCACAGTGAGAGAGAGAGTTTGTTAAAACTCTCACAGGCTGCAGACATGGTCTGAGAAACCACTCGCTTTTACCAACATGTTGCCATTGATAAGAGACTGATGTTACTGATGTCACATATTCATTTGTGGTGTTACTGAAACTATCAGAGGAGTTTTGAGCGCTGCTGCTGGTGCTGCTGCTGGTTCTGCTGTTGTTGCTGGTGTGTTGGACAGTGTGGACGGGTACCGATGGTAAAAACAGGTGTAGTGACAAAGCTGCAAATGGAGGTGATGATTTTTGGACATTTGACTGTATTTTACACAGAGACACTGCTGCAGTCGTTAAGAATGAATCACGTTATGGAAGTAAAACTTGCTAAGAAGTACAGATGATGGGTGAGAAACCTTCCTTTGCTTTGGTTATGGAAGTTGTTTTATTCATTTCAACTGAATCATGGTCAGTTTGATGCTTTCTCTGTGATAATAACATAACCATGGACCTTACACACTGAAGATGGTTAATGTGATAATAACATAACCATGGACCTTACACACTGAAGATGGTTAATGTGATAATAACATAACCATGGACCTTACCACACTGAAGATGGTTAATGTGTAATAATAACATAACCATGGACCTTACACACACTGAAGATGGTTAATGTGATAATAACATAACCATGGACCTTACACACTGAAGATGGTTAATGTGATAATAACATAACCATGGACCTTACACACTGAAGATGGTTAATGTGATAATAACATAACCATGGACCTTACACACTGAAGATGGTTAATGTGATAATAACATAACCATGGACCTTACCACACTGAAGATGGTTAATGTGATAATAACATAACCATGGACCTTACCACACTGAAGATGGTTAATGTGATAATAACATAACCATGGACCTTACCACACTGAAGATGGTTAATGTGATAATAACATAACATGGACCTTACCACACTGAAGATGGTTAATGTGATAATAACATAACCATGGACCTTACCACACTGAAGATGGTTAATGTGATAATAACATAACCATGGACCTTACCACACTGAAGATGGTTAATGTGATAATAACATAACCATGGACCTTTGAAGATGGTTAATGTGATAATAACATAACCATGGACCACTGAAGATGGTTAACTGAAGATAATGAGCCTTAAAACAAAGCTACACTACAAATATTAATATACATATTGTGAAATACCATTTTCAATGTAATATTGTAAATACGCTACATTATTTGCACTATGGAAAACTCACTGTTACAATTAAGTTTGTAACAGAAAACTGAGTATTAAAGGATAGTGTTTTTAAAGGAAGTTTTGAAATAAATTGTGTTTATGTGCACAAAAAGTTGGACTTTGTACCGTTTTTGGATATTTTTGTAGAGCATCTCTGGTCCCGCCACTTGAGATCAAGATTAGGTTGTATGTGGCCCCCCGGACCAAAATGATGGACTTTTTGACACCAATCCTGCAGTAAAACAGAGGACCAGAGGAGAGCAGAGGATAGAGAGAGCAGAGGATCGAGAGAGAGAGCAGAGGACACGGGAAGAGCATGAGACCAGAGAGAGCAGAGGAGAGAAGAGAGCCGAGGACCATGGGAGAGTATGGGACCAGAGGAGAAGCAGAGGATCGAGAGAGAGAGCAGAGGACAGAGGAGAGCATGGGACCAGAGGAGAGTAGAGGACCGAGAGGAGCAGAGGACCATGGAGAGCATGGGACCAGAGGAGAGCAAGGACCGAGAGAGAGCAAGAGACATGGAGAGGTATGGGACCAAGGAGAGCAAGACCGAGAGAGTTGGGCAGAGGACCACAGGAGAGCATGGGACAGAGGAGAGCAGAGGACCGCGAGAGAGCAGAGGACCCATGGGAAAGAGCATGGACCAAGGAGAGCAGAGGACCGAGAGAGACAGAGGATCGACAGAGAGCAGAGGACCACGGGAGAGCATGGACCAGAGAGAGCAGAGGACCATGGTAGAGCATGGGACCAGAAGAGCTGAGGACCGAGAGAGAGCAAGGACCACAGGAAGAGCATGGACCAGAGAAGCAGAGGATCGAGAGAGAGCAGAGGACCATGGGAGAGCATGGGACCAGAGGAAGCAAGGACCGAGAGAGAGCAGAGGGGAACACCTGGGGGGAGTTCATGGGACCAAGGAGAGGGCAGAGGACCGAGAGAGAGCAGGAGGACCATGGGAGAGGTAAGGACCAGAGGAAGCAAGGACGCGAGCGAGTGGCAGAGGACCACAGGAGAGCATGGACCAAGAGGAGAGCATAGGACCGGAGAGAAGCAGAGACCCTGGGGAGAGCATGGGACCAGAGGAGAGCAGAGGACCGAGAGAGAGCAGAGGATCGACATAGAGCAGAGACCACGGGAGAAGCATGGACCAGAGGAGAGCAGAGGACCATGGGAGAGCATGGGACCAGAGGAGAGCAGAGTACCGAGGAGAGCAGAGGACCACAGGAGAGCATGGGACCCAAGGAGAGTGCAGAGGATCGGAAGAGACCAGAGGACCATGGTAGAGCATGGGACCAAGGAGAGCAGAGGACCGAGAGAGAGCAGAGGACCACAGGAGAGCATGGGACGGGAGAGAGCAGAGGGATCGAGAGAGAGCAGAGACCATGGGAGAGCATGGGACCCAGAGGAAGCAGAGATCGAGAGAGAGCAAGTAAAGACCACGGGAGATATGGGACAAGGAGAGCAGAGGACCCCGAGAGAGAGAGCAAGGACCATGGGAGAGCATGGGACCAGAGGAAGCAAGGATCGAGAGACGAGCAGAGGACCATGGAGAGCATTGGACCAGAGGAGAGCAGAGGATCGAGAGAGAGCAGAGGACCATAGGGAAAAATCATGGGACCAGAGGAGAGCAGAGGACCGATAGAGAGCAAGGAATCGACAGAGAGCAGGACCACGGGAGAGCAAGGGACCAGAGGAAGCAGAGGACCATGGGAGAGCATGGACCAGAAGGAGAGCAGAGGAACGAGCGAGAGCAAAGGACCAGAGGAGAGCAAGGGACCGCGAGAGAAGCAGAGACATGGGAGAGCAGGGACCAGAGGAGCGCAGAGGACGAGAGAGAGAGCAAGGACCACGGAGAGTATGGGACCAAGGAGAGCAGAGACCGGAGAGAGAGAGCAGAGGACCATTGGAGAGCATGGGACCAAGGAGAAGTCAGAGGATCGCGAGAGAGAATGGGACCAGAGGAGAGCCAAGGATCGAGAGAGAGCAATGAGACCAGAGGAGAGCAGAGGATCGAGAGAGAGCATAAGACCAGAGGAGAGCAGAGGATCGAGAGAAGTCAGGGACCAGAGGAAGCAGAGATCGAGAGAGATCATGAACCAAGGAGGAGCAGAGGATACGAGAGAGAGCAGAGGACCAGAGGAAGCAGAGGATCAGAAGAGCATGAACCAGAGGAGAGCAGAAAATGATGTTTATGAAGGACACCTTAGACCATGTACAGGTACCTACCAGAGGTCCTCAAATGAAGAAGACCGGGTAGTCCAAACATGTCCCTCATATGGAAGTAAGCCACTTCATATAGAAATGTATCATGGATTTATGAACCTTAACAATATATGTATTTCTACTCGTGCTGTTGGATAGGGGTGGAAAACATAATGTTCACAATATGGTTAATAGAACACTGGTCATGTTGGTTAATCAAATGCCATCTGCTCTCCCCAGGGTGTGCTGTTTTTTTTAATTCCTGGGCACGACCACTTTGCCCTAATTAACATATCATATCCCTAGCACTGAGCCTAAAGATTGAACAACTATGTCTACCGCTAAATGGAAAAACTAAGATTCTATGCTATTATTATGATGATAACATTAAATCATGTTTTTATGTGCTAGCACTCTAATTGGGGCCTTGGTTCAGTAATAATAAGCAGGGCATTATGGGTTTGCACCAGGTAGAGGAGCTCGCAGTATGTGAGCTGTGTTAAGCAGCTATATTTTCTGAACTTCTAGTAAGTATGTATGTTTATTATATAGCGCACGCAGTTAACAAACCAAGATCACTACAAAGGCCATTACAAAGTTCATAGTTCATAGCTTCTAAACTGGTGAGTGACGCTAGCCATTAGGCTAGGTGTTAGCTAAAGTCCTGCGGTTTGTATTGAGTATCTATTGCTAAGCTAATCAAATGTAATCTAAAGCGCCGAAAGCCTGAGGCTTAATGCAGTTTTATCCTAATAAATTGAATATAATATAATAAGTGAATGTAACATGAGTGACAATAGACCACATTTTTCAATATTCATAACTTTTTAATACAGACACAAAGAATGTTTGACTTTGAACTGTTATTTTTATGAGAATTACTTCCTGCAAATACTTTCAATATTATTTTGTTTTTGAACGTTAAATGGTGATGTCTAATTGAAAATAACTATTTCTTCTTAATGCACATTCTTTGTAAAAATATATATAGAATTATCATAAAATAAATTCATTTATTATACATATTACATGTATACCTCTGTAAACATTCACCATACAGTGATTTGTAGTGTCAGTACTGTCCACTCATTTACTTTCCATTTTCAAAGGCTGCAGAAAAACATGGTTATTATGAAAAAAATGGTTCTGGTGTTACTTGTGCCTTCTTGAACACTATTGTATTGGTTTTTCCTAAAAATTTACATAAATAAATAATATATTTTTTTTATTAAAATCTCATATTAAATATAAAGTGAACTAATTCTACCGAAAAACCAGTATAAACATTAATTAACTGCAGTTTAACCCACTCCCTGGCCTGAGGCCGCGTCCTGCCCATAGACTGTATATATTAATGGACAGAGTCACGCCTATCTCCGCCGTTACATAGGAGTTGGCCATGAAAAAAGTGCTCTACTGGAGCAATCCAGATGGCCGCGAGTGGTCCCGCCCACAAGAAAATTGTGAAAAAACGCATCTGCGCAAGAGTCCCAGCCGGAGCCAGCTCCATTCATTTAAACAGAGACTTCAAAGTCCACAGCGACTAAACTAGACTGGTCCTGAACCCTCAGCATTGACACACATGTGGAACGGAGCCTTTGGGCCAAGAGCAACTTTTGGTCCCTCCTGAAAAGACGTTTTTGGAGGTCTGCTAACGCTTAATGTTACATTGCAATTTCTACTTCCTGGGTCCCACCCCACAGGGCCCGGGTGGCATTTGCCAGCGTGTCAGCGCACGTCAATTTTGGCCACTTCTGAGCTGGACCCTCCCCCACTGGTCCTGACCCACTTTTATTTTGGCAGGCTCGTTTCTCATATAGGAGCTGCTCCCGCCGGGTCACTTCCTCTCTGACACTCCGCAGGATTGATAGCTGTCAGCAGCCCCTCACGCTGCCATCTGTTGTGCCTGTTTGAAACCTTTTCAAATAAGCAAACTAACGCTTTACACCGATATTATCGTCCTGCGGACTTAATTGTCATTGATCCATCCCCTCTCTACTTAATTCGGTGAGTCATATACTGCGTAATTTGTTTCTTGTTTTGGTAGTAAACTGTGTGGTGCTTGAAACTGATTAAAACTTATACTGCCGATCCACTCGGCCCATATTCTACAAGGATCCCTTTCCGCAAGCACTGTAAATGCCCCTCTCACCGGTGATCCGTGAAATTATGTATTTTCCCTGTGTTTTTGTTAAGAATGTTGCGCCAATCGCCTCTATCCTTTAGCTGTGATTAATGCTAACGCAGCATAGAGCTACAGCTTTGCTGCGTATATTTCTGCTCGTTTCCTCTTTGAGACTCGGTTATTTGACAAAGTAGTCCAGCCGAACTTTAGGCTACCCCTCAGTTATCAATCAATCAATCAAAGTTTTATTGTTGAGCGCCTTTCATACACAGGGCAACACAAAGCGCTTCACAGTCCACATCACAAATCATCCACATAAAACAAAACACCAAATCACAATTAAAACATTAAAATCAACAAAAGATTAAAACCATAAAAACTTCAAATTACACAAGAAATTTTAAAAATAAAAATAATAATATGACAAAAGTGCATTAGAAATGAGATAAAATCCTACAGTTGTAGCACAAGCTAACAGAACAGTCCCTTTACCCTGGATTTGAACATTGACCGAGTAACGCCTCCCTCACATTTGCAAGAATTGATCCAGATCTTAGCTGCATGATCTAAACGCTGCCTCCCCATGTTTTGGTTCTCACTCTGGGCACCAGCAGGAGGCAAGTCCCTGTGCTCCTCAGAGTCCCAGCAGGAGTCCAGTCCCTGTGCTCCTCAGAGTCCCAGCAGGAGTCCAGTCCCTGTGCTCCTCAGAGTCCCAGCAGGAGTCCAGTCCCTGTGCTCCTCAGAGTCCCAGCAGGAGTCCAGTCCCTGTGCTCCTCAGAGTCCCAGCAGGAGTCCAGTCCCTGTGCTCCTCAGAGTCCCAGCAGGAGTCCAGTCCCTGTGCTCCTCAGAGTCCCAGCAGGAGTCCAGTCCCTGTGCTCCTCAGAGTCCCAGCAGGAGTCCAGTCCCTGTGCTCCTCAGAGTCCCAGCAGGAGTCCAGTCCCTGTGCTCCTCAGTCCCAGCAGGAGTCCAGTCCCTGTGCTCCTCAGAGTCCCAGCAGGAGTCCAGTCCCTGTGCTCCTCAGAGTCCCAGCAGGAGTCCAGTCCCTGTGCTCCTCTCCCAGCAGGAGTCCAGTCCCTGTGCTCCTCAGAGTCCCAGCAGGAGTCCAGTCCCTGTGCTCCTCAGAGTCCCAGCAGGAGTCCAGTCCCTGTGCTCCTCAGAGTCCGGGCTGGTTCATATGGGACTAACATGTCACTAATATATTTTGGTGCGAGGCCATGGAGAGACTTGTAACAAGCAGAGCTGTTTTAAAGTCTATTCTCTGAGCCACAGGAACCAGTGCAGAGACCTGAGGACTGGACTAATGTGGTCGTACTTCCTGGTTCTAGTCAGGACTAATGTGGTCGTACTTCCTGGTTCTAGTCAGGACTAATGTGGTCGTACTTCCTGGTTCTAGTCAGGACTAATGTGGTCGTACTTCCTGGTTCTAGTCAGGACTAATGTGGTCGTACTTCCTGGTTCTAGTCAGGACTAATGTGGTCGTACTTCCTGGTTCTAGTCAGGACTAATGGGGGTCGTACTTCCTGGTTCTCAGGACTCGAGCTGCTGCATTTTGAATGTACTGCAGCTGTTTTTACAGCCTGTTTGGACAGACCTGTTCAGGCCATTCGCCAGTAGTCTAACCTACTGGAGACAAATGCATGGATAAGAATCTCCAGGTCTGCTTTAGACAATATGTTTTTGATCCTTGGCAATGTTTTTTTAGATGTAAAAAGCTGCTGATGTTACTGATTTTAGTTGGCTTATTGAAATTTAAGTCTGAGTCCATATTACCCCTAGATTTCTGACCTTGTTTGAAGGTTTTAGGGAGAGAGACTGTGAGTGTACAGATGACGCTCTCTCTTTGTTTCTGGGGACCAAAGACAATCATTTCAGTTTGTCTGCGTTTAGCTGAAGGAAGTTGTTTTTGCATCCACTCACTGATCTGTTGGATTACAGTGAAGGAGTGAGTCCACTGGTCCATGTTCTCCTACATCAGTGAGACATAGATCTGAGTGTCGACTGCATAGTTATGATCAGGAACACTTTGTTTCTGTGCGTATTAACGACCTACGGCAGCATGTATAGATTGAACCGAAGAGGTCCCAGGATTCGACCACTGTTGGTACTCCACTGGTCAGTGCCATATGATCTGAGACAACAGTCTCCAATCTCCACAAAGTACTTCCTGTCTTCAAGGTAAGACCTCAACCATTCTAGGGCTGGTTTAGCACCAACCCAGTCCTCCAGTCTCTGCCATGAGGATCTCATGGTCGACAGTGTCGAACGCGCACTAAGATCTAACATGACCAAAACTGACTTTACTACAACAGTGTGAAGTCGAATGTCGTTTGTTTACCTTCACTAGAAAGCGGTCTCAGTGCTGTGGTTGGGTCTAAACCCAGACTGGAACATATCAAACGATTATTCATTGTGTTAAAAATTCATAAGTTGTTGGGAGGCCACTTTTTTCAAGAATTTTTTACCAATGAATGTGCAGATCGATATGGGGCGAATAATTTTGAAGTCCCGCAGGATCACAGACTGCACTTTTTTAGGAGAGGTCTTATGACTGCAGTTTTTAGGCCATCGTAAATGGTTCCTGACGACAGAGACATTTTACTATGTGTGTCAGTGAAGTTAACCAAACTGCTCAGGACGGCCTTCAGAAATTTGAGGCAATGTATATCCAGGCTACATGTGGAGGAGCCAGACTCATGATTATCTTTTTGACAGTTTCAGTATCCACAAGTGCAAAGTGAGTAGCTCAAAAAGCTTCTCTGCTGTTGCACTGTTAATAACGTGCTTTGGAGGTGATAGTGTTTATAGATTCCTTGTACTTTGTCAGCGAAAAACGTGGAACTCAGTACACCTAGATTTAGA